ACTTTCCGGTATTTGCGGCACTAATTTGCATATTCCTATGCCACAGTCACATGTGGTCACTTCCAGAATAGTTTTATTGTGATCTCCGACCTTGAAAACATGGGTTTAGACACCTAGTTCGTTCAGTTATCTGCAATATTGGCTGAGATATAGTTACAAATAGATTTTTCGGTAATGGCGGCACTAATTTGCATAAAAACAATACGTGGGACATTTTTTGAATTTTTTAACATAGCAAATCGTTTTCTACGCATTTTTTCTAACCTAGAAACGTTGATTAGAAATTGATTTCCGAGGGTGCACGATACCCCCCTTTTCCGACTGAACTACATTGTGTCTGTGCAAATGACATGTGAAAAGTGTAAACTGGAGGTTGTTTCGGAATTTCTGGTGGAAGACTTTTAAGGATCCCTTCCGATTCCGAGATGCTGGAAGCTTCTAACCCAATTTGCTCCTCCAAAACCAAGTTTGTATTAGCGCATTTCCCGCCCGTCCGGCGTTCGTTTGTGCTCCTCAATTGACTCAATCAGACATGCAATTTAGACTTGACTCCTCCTTCACGGTCAGCGACCCCTTCTACTAACTCAGGAAAAGACGTGATGTATTCAGACACGATGACTGATGTCATTTCAGAACAGGACAGAAAAAAAATCGAGGTAACATAGAGGGGTGTGACATCTATAATCACAACATCGGCCAAACACCACCTTCTGGGATTGGATAACTTGTACGGGGGCGGTTTTTTTTTGGGGGGGGACATCAATTTGGGGGATGTGATTCCCAAGAAAGCAGAAACCTCGGTAGATTTTTGAGGGGTCTACGGTTACGAAGTTTTTGTTAGGAGGGCCGGTCGATCGATCGTTGAACTCGGGCCGTTGAACACCTTTGGTCCTGAAACCGATCGGGGTAAATTGTGGAGCAACAGCGCGGGGGGCGCGGGGGTGATGTTACCCGGTCACTTTTTGAGGACTAGGCGGCTTGGCAGATTCAATTAGTTAAACCGGGGCACAGTGAACAGAAGAAAGAACGCTCTACTCCCACGTTTCATCACACCACAGCATATCTCCATCTTCCCCCGGAATTAAGATGCATTGCATATTGTGCTCTTTAAAAATGGCTAGTTTTCTCTGCAAAAAAATTAAGCAGGAATACCTTGATCAGTATTCGTTACCAAGCATAACTGTTAAGCAAAGTTTGACCAGGAGAGTCACGTGACTGATGAGATCATCGCCACTGCACAGACCGAGGTCCTTGACCGCGAGTGGGATCTGTCAAGCCCCGGACTCAAGCCCTCGGTCCCAAGCGGTGCCTCACCTGTTGGTCCGTCAGCCAGACTGTGCAATACACCTGTCCCGGTATTGTTTCAGACCGTGTCTCTATTTAGAGGCCCATTTTTTTTATTTTAAAACTTGGCAGCTTTTCCCCTCTAGGCTGGATATGGATAATTGCATCGATGGATTGCGGCTTCCCGTGGCTCGACTAACACCGACATAATATCAGGGAAGGGAATAGCTAAGGTTTAAGTATACAGACCCTGCATGTTTACATTGGTGTCCGATCCCAAACAATTTATGTATAGGATTCCATCCTTCCAGTTCAACTCTATTTTATTTCTTATTCGCTTACTTAAAGCACAAGTCTAGCTTTTGCCAACAAGTAATTTAGCTCTCTTTAAAAAAAAAAAGATAATAAAGGGGGTACGTATTGCAACTACGTAGATGTTACAGACAGCAATACCAGAAATTCCACAACTGGATCCTGTCATCATATTCAGAGATGTCCAAGTCGATATTGAAGTGATTGCATCTCTGACGCGATTGAGTTTAACAGCTACTGCAAAAAGAGAATGGCAGCTTAGATTTAAAGTTAAAAAAAGAACTTGGAATGTCCGTCTCACGACTTGGTAAATCGAGCATTGCCAGGTCTCGAGCACACACACTGTATCACTTGTTCCCCAGCACTCCTCCGAACCAATTACCGAGCAGCGGGGAGCCGCCCTGCCCGAGATTTGATCAGAACTCCCCGGTCAAAGGAGGGCGAGTCACGCCGCTGTCGATTGACGGTGATGGTAATCGGACAGGGCGAGCAGTATCGCGATCGGACGCGGTGGGGACCCCATACCGGCCAGGAATTCGGAGCTCGCGAGGGGGCCCGGGGATCGGAGCGAGGGGCCGGGCGGTTGGGCCGTCCCGTTCCGATCATTGGCGTACGTTGTGTTCCACATCTGTGTAAATATCGTGCACCCGGTGAGCCTGGTAACTAATAGGGGTCGTTAACATGGCTAATACGGAGATGAAGATGAGGCCAGTGGCCGTTAAAACAGCTTATACCGTGTCATTCATGCTGGAAAAAAAAGCTCCATGATGCGACAACATTGACAAGGTTTAACCAAATGTATTGCAGTTGGACTTTTACTTGTACTCTATCTAAATAAGATAAAATCAAACCCCAAAATGTATCATCTGCAAGTATCCGTCTCTTCCCGTTACCGTATGAAATTTTTGTCACGAGAAAGTTACGTTCTTGGAATTTTTTCATTTTTTCTTCTCCTCAGATCTGAGACATTACTTTGTTTTGGCTTGTATATTTTGTCAATCAGACAAACGAGGGCGCTATATATGCAAAAACCTAAATGTTGGTGTGTCTAACAGGCGCAAGCAGCCATTTTTGTTTGAATGGCGGCTTATAGTTTCTGTTGCTTTTGGTTGGTAATTGATTTTGACGTTTTCTGATCACTGTAAGGAAAATTTAGCTTTTGCTAGTTAAAACTAATGGTCTCGGTCCAAGTTCTCCAGTCAAGAAGGCTTATAAGTCTGAAGTTTGAAACAAAAAAGACTTGTCGCAGTAAAGGTGAAGTTACGAATTACACATTTCGATTTCCAAGTGCCCTGGTTCATGCTAAACCTCATCTAAATTAGCGCTGACGGCTGCCGTATGGTCTCTACATCACCCCCTGCCACTTACGCAGTCCTTGTTACAGTCGAGTTACCACTTTTTACACCAGTCACACCATACCATAACTCTTTTTTTTTTTTTAACCGGCACCAAGCCGTAATCCTACAGCACTCAAGTCACTTTGAATTACTGGCGGTGGTGAATCAAGTCTGGTGCCGGACTTACTGGCGTTAGGGGCTGGACTTTGGGGCCTGCCCTCCCCCTCCCCCCCCCCCCCCCCCTTCACCACCACTTTCATTTCATAAGTAATTGGCAGGTAATTTTTTTGTAGTGGATGGTATTCAAGTTTGAAGCTGAGTATGTACATTTGTACTTGTCAGAAGTTTGAAATGCTTCTGTTACCTGGTTGCTCGTTGTCTACTCTTTGTCTAATGTCTTCAAATTTGATACAAATTTTTCAAAAAGTTGGTAATTTTTTACCTAAATTAACCAACATCTAGAATAGTTTCATACCCAGTGTAGTGCAGAATAAGATTGCCATTTTGTTCATCAACTATTCCCCTACAGTGCAAAGAGAAACACAGCCGTCATCCGAATGGGTCTGTTATTGAACTTGGCCAAGTTTCAAATTGATGAAAGCTGACATTATTGCAAAAGAGAAAAAATACATCAACTGTGTGGTCATCACCCATGTTTCTGTCTGACTATCGGTCTGTCAGACAGTTTACTGACAATTATCGTATTTCATTGCTTTCATAACTTGGAATCTTGCTTAACCCACAGCACGCAGGCCTATGTCAGTCCAGACCAAAATCAGAGGGGCAGTATAGTGTTATAATCCCATCTCTAATCCCAGTCGGCTTCGTTCCCCAACCTGCTCCGAATTGAACTGTTTCTTTCTGTCCCCCCCCCCCCCCCCCTTTTCGTGGTCTGATCATCAGAAAATAAATCACAGAGACTTGTAATTAAACGGAATTAGCAATCCAATCCTCACTGGGTATCTGTATCCGCAGTGGCGTATCTTGATCCCGTGCATTAACTAGTAATACGTGCCCTCTGGCTTAGGTGTATAACCAAGAAAGACAGAAAAATACCACCCCAAGGTGTGTGAGAGAGACGAAAGAGTGAAGAAGAAACAGAAAAAAAAGGAATGATTGATAAGTTTACTGATATCCTGTTAATCGTCAGGCTTCACCTTGCTGGGTGTACTCTAGACCGTTGGCCGAGAGGCGAGCCTGAGCCAGGCGATACATCACTGGTTGTCAATCCGATCGGGATGCTTCCGGCACCCGCCGTCTGTCCGCGCTGCCAACCACCTGCTTGCTTGTGACTGATGAATCTCTCGTCTTATGTTTTCCCTCTCCTCCTCCTCCTCCGCTCTCTGCCTCCCAGAAGACCTAAACCAACTCATCATCGGGCCAGGGCTTCGCCCGCATCATCATGATCGAATTTTCCGAGGATGATGACTGGATAACCCGAAACACCTGCCCGGATCGTCTCTCCCTCTTTCCCCCATCCCTCATCCCGGCTCGTCTTCCGCGGCTTCTCCTGTTCTGCACCTCCTTCCCGTTTATCCGAGCATCACTCCCTCACGACTTAACTACTCATTTTACCTGCCTCCTGCTGTACTACTCCTCCTTAGAACACAGTGCGCCTCACGCTTGGAAAACCTAATCTGTGTTATTCCATCAACAGCTCCACCGGTTTTTCTTTTTGTCTTGAGTTAAGTCCACGCAAGTCCACCCAAGATAATCACAATTCGATCGCAAAGTCAAGTCATGAGCAATGAGCCTCTGTACTGATGACGTCACACTTTGTTTACGTGTGTGCTTTCCTATGGTGCTCAGTGGACCGTGGGCCCCCACTGGCTCCATAGGAAGGTGTACATGTAAACAAAGTGTGACGTCATCAGTAGAGAGGCTTATTCAAGCTGAACAACCGCAACAACGGAAGTTCTATTCTCATGGTTCATCCTTTGTTACTTTTGACCCTATTATCTTTTGAATTTGGAACCTTGCATTTTTTCCTCCTTTGTCAGTACATTATTTGCTTGGATGTCTTGATTTAATAGTATGTTTCCTTTTCTGTTCTTTTTTTTTCACCAGGGCAAAATCTAAGAACGGAGGCAGATATCTGAGAGAAAGACTAGAAAAAATCGGCTTGAATCTGCCCGCTGGAAGGAGAAAAGCCGCTAACGTTACATTGTTTACGTCATTAGTTGAAGGTAAGCCAATTATTTCCGTAAATGAAATGAAATTGTGTACATTAGTATTTAATTTACTGTACTTGTTAACTTGAAAATGTCTGGTTAAAAAAATCAGACTAGGTTCTTCTGGAATTCTAGTATTTTGACCGAAAGAACAAACGATACAAGAAATGACGTCTCGCCAACTTCGGACGCCCTCCAGAGGCGAGGACACACCAAGATTGTTTGCCTGTTCAAAAATCAAAAACAAAATGTAGGTTGAAAGTCGAACTCCTATATTCCAATTCAAAATGCAATTAATTTTGACGTGTGGCCGCGGCAAGTATCCACCGGCCAGCCGCCATTATATTATACGCACACGTGCCAAGATGATTGGGTAGATAAAACCACTGATTTCACTTCAACCACGCATAACAAAGCCGCACTGCCGTGATTCTCCTATTCCTCGCTCATTCACCAACATTATGGCAAGGTACACAAATTGTTTTAGCCGCCTGTTGACGAGTGACCTTGACGATGCGCCTAAGCGCCCATTTTATGATTGACCGTGGAGAGCATATACTGATGATGGTGATGATGCGACGGTTTTAATGGACGGTCTACTCTCGGGTTCGCCTCAGACTCTAATTGTCTAATTCCGACCTTGACTCTTGCTGTATGATCGGTTAACGCAGCGAGCCACGCGGCTCTTATACCCGAGACTGGGCTGTAAACTGCCCATCGATTTAAGCTTCCTGCAAGCTCGTTCAGATACATCGCTCGGTCTATCAGCGTACCCTCGCCTGCCTACCTTTTAAAATAAAATTTAAAAAAAAACCGGCGTCCGCCCCACCGATCCATTTTGAAGCCGGAAACGCGACGGTCGTGTGGTCACGCATGGTCGTCTGAAATGCACCTGAGTAAAAGTGCAAAAGTGGCAAGAAGGCAGCATGCGCATAAACCTGGCAAGATTTATTAAAAAAAAATTATGTTTGCACTTAAATTTACCATAATGAAAAACGTGGCGTACAGCAGACATCTATGAATATCTGAAAATTCCCGGCACAAAGCAAAATACTTCAGCAGTGATGATACGCATTGGCGGTGGGGAGGGGGGAGGGGTGGGTAATGCATAATTGGAAAGAAAAAAGTAATTTCATGACCGTATCAATGATATTTCACAGCATACACTTTACCAAATGTATAATACTGACAGCCCACGCCAGCATCTAATTGAAATGTGTATTTCCATAAGGTTTTCCAAATCAATTTGCATAATTATTAACACAGAAGTTGTCAAATACAAAAAAAACACGGGTAATTTGGTTAAATGTGGGTGTTCGTTTCAAAATCAATAATGGTTATAATGTCCACCTTAAGCGGCGCAAGGCCGAATTGCAGTTGGATTAACAAAAGCGTCAAAATATTAAAAGACAATATGAAAAGAAATAAACAGATGCTGACTATATTATTAAGGGAACACACGTTTCATATTTCATATCCTGTTACACGTCACAAAGAGATCAAACTTTCGGGGGGGGGTTCCAACCAAAAAAACATGCAAGTGTCATTCTCCACGTATTTAACTGCACAGCAGTTGTGATAAGTGCTAGGTGGCAATTTTTTGTTATTATTCGAACCAATGGGTGTCATATTGCATTCAGTGAAGTTTTCAATCAAAATGCTTTTGAAACTGTCAGGACTCTGGGATGCACGTTTTTCGATTCATGATATTTTTTTATTTAATGATCATCCTTTGCCTTTTGATCCCTGCGTCTGATTTAGCAATATTATTTTGTCATCACCCTGCAGCCAGTATAGTCTTCAATTATAAGCACTTCCCATATCATCCCCCTACTCCATCCTTTCTGGGGGCTTTCACATTTACCCCCATCCTTTCTGGGGGCTACTGCGCGCTCCGCCGTCCATCACATACCCAGCCTGCGGACTTGGAAGTCAGCGCGTGCAGCCAAGCGTAGCCGCTTTGGGCTACAAAGCGCCCATCACATGTCATGTCCCGCAAGTTCTTGTATGTTACTCCTTTTTTTTCGTACAATGTTATCTGTCTGGGACTTCTCCCGTGGGCGAAGCACCGCTCGCGGGAAGTGTGGCATCCTCCGTGACGAAGTTGGCAGTTGGAGCAGACGATATCTGTCATACCGTTAGCCAACAGGATATGACGGGGCCCCACGATAAGGAACGGTTTAGCGATCGGATCCTGACACAAATTCGAGTCTGGCTTGGGTTTTTTGGCCGGCCATGAGGGCGCCTTCTCAACTTTCTGGTTTACCTAGCCTATCGTTAAATAGGAGTTTGATGCTGTCACGATTCTAATAACAATTCTATCGTCAAAGTCGCCCAGCCGCTCGTTTGAAACCCTTTTTAGCTTGTCATTAACGCCGTCCCTGCGGCGCCCCAGCAGTACGCTAACACTTGTTCTGTCACTGAGAAAGAGGTTGAAATTAAGTTGGGCTTGTTATGGATATGACAAGCCCAAGTTGGGATTTGTTATGGATGAACACAAGATGGCCACTCGTTGCGTCACGTGACTCACGTGCTCCATTACTGAGAAAGAGGTTGAAATTAAGTTGACCCTGGGATCGAGTTGGGCTTGGTATGGGTGAACACAAGATGGCCACTCGTTGCGTCACGTGACCAAACAAAGATGGCCGACTTGGAGCGAGTCTATTTCAAGTGTTAACATTGTTATAGGTATATACTTTCCCTGATGCTGTCGGGGAATAAGGCAAAATTATTTCCTTGTGAACAAGAATCGACTAGTTATACGACAGCAGGTAGCAGCCCACGACATCCCAAGCTTTCACTTAGGCTACACCAAGCATTCTTACTTTTAACAGCCTAGGCAGATTAATGATAGTTTGATGGCGTATATACTGATTGGAAAGCTTGTGATAAATTACCCACAGTTCGTTGGTTGCCCCTTTTATAGAATTCGTTTTAGAGGCGCCATCATGTCACAAAAGCAAGATTTCACTTGCATTATAGACAATTAACGTATCAATAACAGAGACAAATTAACGCTGCGTGTAATCCATGTTGACTTTGCTTGCATTGTCTAAACAAAAGACAAATTAGTGAAGATAAAAGTAAGAGGCCTCGATGTGTAAAATTAACCAAATGCCAATGAACTGGAACCATTGTTCTTTGCACCTGTCAGGGACCCGACCAATTTTTTACTCTGAAAATCTCGAGAAAGAATTCCCCCAATTAAATTGACATTAGCATACGAATGCCTCCATTTTCTGCCTCCTGTTGACTCCCACGGTATCCCCGTTGTCTAGGCGCTTTCGCCGGGGAATAAATTAATATCAATCTGTCCGGGTTCCCGGATACATAATTCTTGCGATCAATTGCTGATCGATATTGGCGATGGGACCATAATTGCTCCGACACTTGACTACAAAAGAGCCGGAATTACAAGTCAAACATATATGAAAGGCACCGCCCCGGATCCCAGCAAAAATATTGTGGCATTGTTTCGCAAGTGGATGGAGTGAGAAAAAAAAATGTAAAACAGAAATTGACTTTTTGTGTACTTGGTGGATAAATTAGGATCAGGAGGATTCGGTTTTCGTCGCTATCGCAACAGATGTGTCTTGAGACCACGCCCCAACTTACCAAATGTCAAAGGTCATCGTCTTTTGTCATTACCCAAAGTTTTTATTAAAATTAGCCTCGAAGAAGACAACTTGTTCTCCCAACCATCCCTGAAATTGTTCATGAAAAATAAGCTCTGTAGCCTAAAACCCATGGGTCAACATTTGCAAGATAAACTTGGTCAGTCTTAAACCACGCCCATGATAACGATCGTGCTACTTCAAGGACCGGAAGGTCTCCGTGATTTTGTAATGGTCCGTACGTCCACTGAAGCTGATCTCTTCTAAATTTCCCACTTGAAGATGTTGGCCGCGAAAGCTTGTTTCAAAAAAAAAACAAAGAAAAAAATCCTCCTGCTATAACTCTCCAGCTGACAAAAGACGGTGTGATGCGCGGTGATGCAGCGTCTTCCTTGTCTTATTTTTTTTCTCCCTATTTTCGGCCGGACCTGACTGGATAGTATTTCCTCCTCCTTGACTCGGATGTCCCGGCAAATCCTCGCTTCGTCATGCTCTCTCCAGCCCCGGCGTTTGTGTAAGACGACCAGTGCGGAAGTGACAGGATTTCAGCCGGGGACTCGCGCGGCCGTGTGTACCGCCCGGCCGGCCGGCTGGCCGGTCGGTCAGCGGCGGTTGGAGGAAACCACGGTGCCTCGAAGTATCGGAGGAAGGACCCGGGTCCCAGGCCTCCGATTCCAATCAATACTCTCTTCCCTGACCTCTTAGCGTTTGGAGATGTGGTCTCCTCGTTTTTTGGCTGTTGAAGGAGCCCGGCTCGCAGGGGATAACTCGATGAGATGACATCGAGGGCATTCAACCGGACTGGCGAAGAAAGAAGATAGGGTCGTCACATGGGCAGGTGGTACGACGATGGGCTTTTTACAGGCCCATCTTGAGTAGCTGAAGGAGACACCAAACGATAACATATCAAGGGTTGTTACCGATTGAAAACAAACCTCGTTGAAATCTCTGCAACAACACAATGATATTGAGTGCTGTGAATATACCCCATCCAGAAAGCTTGGTATTCAATATACGTTGGTCAGCCTCAGTCCTCACAGTAAATTACTGCAATTTATCAGTGCATTCGGGACAATAGCAAATTGGGACAATATCTACATACAACTGGATAGTCCACTGGAACAGGGATTGCAAGTTGTAAATACTGTCCCTCTAAAACTTGCCATGTTCAATTTTATATCATCTTAGACATCATTTAAAAATTTGAGCCCGATCTCGCTCAAAGCAAAAGCCTGAATAATGTCCTTATTTCATTTATAAAACAAAATTATCATGCTTCAATATACAGGTGCCACCTCACTTGAGATAAACTTCAGAGAAAAAAATGAAGATTTCTGGATGGCAGATTGTTTTAATTGTTGCCATGGAACGCATGAGTTCCCGTACTGACTAAGAAAAAAA